TGATGTTGTTTGATGCACTTGATCCGATAAAGAAGGAGCATTTAGAGGAACAATCGTTGGCAGAAGTGAAGGTGATGCAGCGGACGACACATGACGATATGAACGTTGTTTTTTCGCATCAAGTAAAGCTCTGAAGAAACAAAACAAGATGAGAATATCTATACTTCAAATCATCGATAGAATGCTTTTCTTTTGTGTTCATTTCACGTATGATTTATCACACGAAGTTTGCACTCAAGCGGCATATCTTCTCTTTGTTAAATACCTTTAAACTTCCAAATGTCGTTAACATCGATTTTTCTATAGAATCAATCAGTCAATGAATTATTATCGAGGTGAACTGAATTGAACATACGTATACACATTCATTCATTCATTCATTCATATAAATATACATGTTATGCAATCCAGTATAGATTTCAAAAGATGTTAAAAAAAAAGTACCGGAAAATATTCATTATCGATGCCTATTATGAATAGTTCTCGTCAATAGTACTTTCGTTCTGACGTAAGAGTGATGAATTATAATTGAATGTCGAAGGTAATTAGATTAAACTAATTGAACTTACCGAACTCGATTTAGTTTCTCTTGTAGATCATTGTTGTTGTTGTTGTTGTTATTATTATTGATGTTGTGATTCTGAATAACGTATGCAGGAAATGATAAATCTGAACTCGCAGGAATTATTGTTGTACCATCCGACCGCGTCTTCGCTTGAGCTTCCCATGTAGTCATATGAGAATGTGGACTGGCTCTGGCCGGAATTTTGATGATTGATATGGTGGTTGTTGAACCAGTCGTTGTTTTAGTTCGATAGTCATAAGTGGCAGAAAAATACTCGTTAGCTCTCTTTTGATATTTACCATGACTTTGAGCAATCCAACGTGAAACATAACTTGTTGGAGCATTGACGTCAGGATTGGATGTACTAACAACAGTCGTCATTCTCGTCCGCGTGTTCAATTCGAGTTCTTTTTCTTATACGATATTAGTGAGATAGATATTACCTAAAAAAGATATGTAGACAAAACAGATATTTTCGATATGGTTTAACAGACGACATATATAAATGTGTCACATAACAGACAAAGGACGTAAAAAAAGTATAACCATGATCAAGAGGGAGGGAAAGAAAACGAATAATACATATACAAAGAGAGACAAAAGTCGATATGGGAGCTATTTGAATAAGATTACTCTCAGGTGAGAATTCACGTACGTCGAGAACAACAAGAATTGCCTCTATATTAAGCTCATCTCTTGTTCAAACTGAACGATTGAGCACTAATTCGTGTATGTGTATGTCTATGTGACGTGATGAAATGATGCAATGAAAAAAAAAAATTCGATATTCATATGAATAAAAATGAAAACGGCGAAGGAAGTATGACTTGTTCGTTTCATTTTTTCTCTATGGAGAAGACTTTTCTCCGATGTCATTTGAACAAGGTTCTTCCCCGTTACAAACTTCAAACTACTGTAACAAATTATTCAATGTTGAACGAATCAAGTTAACCAAATAACAACAGATAGTATAGTTCATGAAAAGAAAGAAAAACGACTGATGTTGCTTTAATTTCTCTCATCAAAATTATATATGTACAACATATATGAGGAGAAAATCAAGGTAATGAAGACCTTGATTTCTCTCTTTTCTCGTGTATACACGCGTGTTCGTTTTTTTTCTCAATGATTTTCCTCCTAGTTAATAATATTCTATCGGACTCATTTAATAGACAATGATAGACGTCAATGACACGAAATTTTTATCTGCCAGAAATATCTTCTATTTGTCTATTATATACTCGATCAATTTCAATTTACGAGACACACTCATGCATAGAAAGTGCGTGTGTGTAGTCGATGTTTGCTTCATTATTTCATCAGAGATCTATGTTTTATAAGGAAAGTATGTTTTTGTTTAGAAGTGTATGTTTATATATAAACATCGAATATACAGAGATGACCTTCTCAAGTTTCCGTTCTCTTAAAATGAAGCAAAACGATGATGAGTTACTTCGATTGCGCCGCGCAAGAAAAGAGAGAGAGAGAGAGAGAGAGAGAGTGAAAAAACGGAGAGTAAAGGCAAGACAGTAACAACAGTGATTCAAATATTCTATCTACGGACATGAACGATAATAAAAGTAAAAAGAAATGAAAGAAAATGTATGTCATTAAATTTCAATCGTAGTATTTTATTGAAAATAATCGTTTGATTAAATCTTCCTATCGAACGAGAAGAGAAAAAACAATCATTAAGAATGGTCGGCCTCCTTTTGATCTTTTCTTTGATGGATCAAGTTCTGACCTTTGAATACCTATGCAGATCGAACGATGAGTAAAATGGTCAGTAAACTATTTCTTCCTGTGTATGCGAGTCTCATCGTTCTATTGAATACAAATAAGTGTCGCGCTCGAATGAGCCGTCGGCTACTGCGGTTCTAAATAGATGGCCTATAATGAGTCTAATCGAAAAGATATATATATATATATATATATATGTATATATTATATGTACATATAATGATATGAGAATAATTTGTATTCAGAACATACATACATGTGCAGGTCTGAACTCGAATCAAAGAGCGTCATTTATCTGTGATAGCTACACGTGTGAATATGAAGAAGGAGGTCGGCAGATAGAAGAGAAGGATACACCTTACATGAACGTAAGGAATAGTATGAGTGACTGAACATTAAAGAAGAAGAAGAAGAAAAGGTCGAACAAAAAAAAAACGGAGAGAAAGTGTTGTAGTGGTCGAACATGAAACATCGAGTTCAGATGAGTATAGAAGTACTTGTAACAAATATAACCTTGTAGTTACGATACGGATTTTAAAGTGTGTATGGAGTCATATATGTTTACAATAGGAAAAAGAAATGATATAATTTTCAAATGAAAAAAAAAATTCATTTTGATCAAATGATGATATACATCAATAGTGCTAGTTTTTGTTCGCATCACAGCGATCGACATTGATAAATCAAAGTGAAATTTTCAATTAGCTTTTCTCGAAGCAGTAAGTCTGCGCTTATTCCAGCGTTTGCTTGCTTTGTTAGGCGAATGTATGATCGCATACGACATCTGCATCTATAGATTTATTCTCGGATCGAGCGAAGATAAGTTATTTATAATAACCAATGAGGAAACCGAAAACAAAAAACAACAACAAAAGACGGAGAGAGAAAAAAAAGGAAAGAAAAAGTTCTTCATCTATCCTTTCGATCTTTCTTTGTCGTTCTTTCTCTGAATACCAATTTTCCTTCGTGTTTTACGTCATTATATTATTCACATTTCCCATTGATCCACAAATAGCTCGACGATGGATTCGACAGTCGCGCCCGGCACTTTAAACATTCCACAAATAGTATGTCGAAACCAATTACTTGCAGTATGCGTAATTATATTTCACTTAGATTCGCAGTGAAACACGTTTACGTGAAACGACCTATCGTTTAATAATTTCCCAATTATTCTATGATGGTCATCAACAATTGGCTGTATCGCTTTCCAATCTTCTGCAAGTGAGATTCGAATGCAATCAGACTCTAGTTTTGGTTCTTATCAACTTCATTTTTTCCTCTGAAGACATCTCCGCCATGTCCACCGTCAGATCGATTAACTCACATTGTTCGACTTGGTTTAAAAGCTGATGAAGAGCTAGAACAAGCACAAAAATCATCGATCGTTGTTGCTGAAAACGTCCAAGATATAGGTGAGAAAAATCATTGTTTTCGCTCGAAAAGAAGCACGTAGAAGATTTCTTTCTAGGCCTTGATTTTGATTATCAATCTGATTCACCAATTACTAGTCCAGATGCTGGCTCGTACGAAACATTTTATGTTACTGCTCACAAAGCACCTTGTCGTGCCGCTGCTTTCGATGCAACTGGATCGATTATCGCTACCGGTTCAGTAGATGCATCGATTAAAATTCTTGATGTGGATCGGTATGAGAAAAATCAACTGACGAGCATCGTCTCTATTCATCTACATAAATCTTTGCTTTTAGAATGCTTATTAAAAATAGTTTCGGTCTAGACTATGCACCATCTTCCATCGAACCACCTATGGATAATCATCCAGTCATTCGAACGCTCTATGATCACGCCGACGAAGTCACATGTCTGGACTTTCATCCATTCGATCCTATTCTTGCATCGGGCTCACGTGATTATACGATAAAATTTTTCGAGTACGCTAAATCAACAACGAAAAAGTCGTTTCGTACAATCAAGGAAGTTGATCAGATACGTTGTTTGAGTTTTCATCCAAGCGGTGACTGGTTAGTTGTTGGTACACAGCATCCTGTGACACGTTTGTACGACGTGGAAACAGGCCGCTGCTTTGTCTCAACTCAACCGCAAGATCAGCACACCAAAGCGATAACTTGTGTCAAATGGGCACCGAATGGAAAACAGTTTGCTACATCATCGAAAGACGGTTCATTCAAAATTTGGGATGGTGTAACAAATCGTTGCATAAATACATTCGATGGTGCACATAATGGTGAAGAAGTTTGCTCAGTAGCTTTCACAAAAAATTCCAAGTATTTGTTGACCAGTGGAAAAGATTCACAAGTTCGTCTGTGGGAATTATCCACAGCAGTAAGAACATCATCCCTTCTTTCAAACTTACTCTATTCGCTTTGAACTTTTAGCGTTGTCTAATTCACTATACCGGTGCTGGTACATTAGCTAAGCAAGAACATCGTGCGACTTGTGTTTTTAATCACACAGAAGATTATATACTCTATCCTGATGAAAAAGCGACGTCGTTGTGTTGTTGGAATTCGCGTAATGCTGAACGACAACGTCTATTGGGTTTAGGTCATAATGCTCCTGTAAAATGTATTGTACATAGTCCAACAGCACCAGCTTTTGTCACATGTTCCGATGATCATCGTGCAAGATTTTGGTGTAAAAGAACATTGTTTGGTGACTAAAATGAATAGGACAAAGTTTTTTCTTTCTTTCTTTTTTTTTCTGTTATTGTTATATCAATATTCATCTTTTGTATGGTTTTTTTTTCTTTTCAGATAATGCAGCCTTCATTAAATAACCTTGAACATGGAATTTATCCATCATTTCGTATGCGGAATAATTCGTATTCGACTACCACAATCACCAATCCTTCCTTACACACTCCACCCTATCCGACATTAACCTATCCTAATAGTCATGGTCAAACATCCATACAACAATTTCTTAATTCTGATATGCTTGCATCTATGTCACGTAGTAATTCTCAACCAGATTTAACCGCTGCTTTAAATAATGTTCAGTCATCATCCAATCATTTAACATCATCAAAGTCTATGTCAGTTTGCTCCGATGATCTCTACATGGATATCAGTGGTTGTAATAGTTCAGGTGTTGTTGACGATCTATTCCTTGGAATCGAAGCGGATTTTATTGGCACATCTGACCTCTCAGATTTCTTTGAGAATGATTATTTTTCTGAATTAGATGATACGCGTTCATTATTTCAACAATTTCCAAACCCGTCTAGTCTTTTACCAGCTCCGCAACGCAGTGCACCCTCGTCACCAAAACTTCGAGGAAAAAACCGTACAAACAATCATGGAAGACAACTACCGACCAAATTATGGTCGAAAATGACTAGTGATGAACAAACAGCCACAACCGATGATTTAACCTTGATTATTAACAAGCAACTTGGACGACGAGAACAACTAGAAATTATTCGAATTTTACAACCCGATGGTCCACAACTAATGCCACATCAAACCGAGTTTATCTTAGATTTCTCTCAAATGAATGACGAAAAACATCGGCGAATTAAAAACATCATTAAATTCAATCTAATTGGCACGAGCGGATCTATGAATGATGAAAGTGATGGTTATTCATCGTTGTCGTCGAATAAGAGTGATCCATTGCATCAACGTATCGAGAAAGCTTTAAAACTACGACAGCGCAAAGAACAGCGCCAAGCTGCTAAAGAACACCGATCAGGTTTATTTAATGCTCAACATCATCAAGTATTGGAACTAACCAAATGCGATGAAGATATTGAAGTAGATATTTTATCATAACTTATAGTCTTAAAACGTTTTTTATTATTATTATTATTACTATTATTGTTATATGTCACTCAACGTTTTTCTTTCCATACAATTGCAATTGTACTCATTTCTTTTTCTCTCTCTCTCGTCTCGCGCGCTCTCGTTTTCTGTACCTATGTCGTTTTCTCCTTCTTCTGTGCACTTCGATGTGCGAGTGTGTGTGTGTGTGTGTGTATGAACATTGGTGACAAAAAACAAAAAGAAATATACCATTTTATTCCGAACTGCAAACGTTTTCAACAGTAGGAAGTCAAGTGGGAAGTGGAAGGATGCGATCGTCGTCGCTCATTAGAAATGTATTTTGAGGAGAAGAAGATGTTCTCTCGAAAACGTTCTACTATTATTTAAAGTAGAAGAAAAAGGAAACGAATTGATGTTTGCGTACGTCTTGCTTGTTCTTGTCTCTCGAATAGCAGGTTTGTAATTGCAGGAAAACATGTTTTCTTGTATGCATGTTTTGTGAGATAAATATTAGTAATCTTCTGATCTATTTTGGTATTTATTTGTAGAGCAGAGGAAAAGGAAAAGGTCGAGGAGAAATTTTCTTATCGAATTCAAATAGTTGATAACTAATTGATGAAATTTATCGTAGAGAAAAAATGGCCTATTGATCATGATTATCAACACTAAAGATTAGCTGTAGTATCGTTGACCTAATCGAATTGTTGGCTACACGGAGTGTTGAAAAGAACAGTCATTTACTGGAAGATAACATCGATCAATTTTTGACTGTGATACAATCAGATATGATTGAAAATTTCTTCGAAAGATGAAAGTCAAGAAGTTCAGACTGGTCCGATTAGATTTCGGATCGAATGAAGGTCATTTCAAATCCAATGATACCTTTGTTTATTGATCTACTTCAGACTTTATTTGTACTTTTTAACAAACAAATAAACTTGCAATTGAGATGATATTCTAAATTAAACAATGATGAAAGAGTAGCGTCATTGGTAATATTATCAGACAGGCTTTGATGTGTCTATATCACCCGTATGTAATCAGTCTATTTTCGAAGAAATGCATCTATAAACGACAAATATCCTGCCGGTTAGCACTCGATGGGAAGAACAGTCGAGATGTCAGTCGAATGAGAATAGAAAAAATAGATACTGTACTTTGTTTTTTTCCCGTAAGAAAAGGATAGAAAACGAACCGAGAGCGAGAGAGAGAGGGAGAGAGAAGAAAATACGAGATCTTGCACACCAATTCCAAGGACGTTGTTACATTTATATTTAATTATGTATCGATGGAAGAATGAGGATATATTGATAACATATGGATGCGTACGGTTCATTCTATGATGTTTTTCACTCTTAGATACTTGTTAGCTTAATAATCATTTTACAAATGGACGTAATTATAGAAGGAAACAAGTAATTATTACTTGACGAAAAGGCTCGCACGATGTGTGACCTTCCTTGTGGATGACATTTTGATGCCATTTGTTGTTGTTGTTATTATTATTGTCGCTTTCGGGGAACATTCTTCGCTCATCACTGATTTCCTTTTGCTTTCTCATCTTTCTCTTTCTCTATGTCTAGATTTCAAGACTAATCAATCAATCATTCAATCAATTGATCGATCGGACATTGTTTTCTCGTTTACCTCCTTCTCGCGACGACGATGGCAATGCAGAAGGCTAACAATATTCCTGAAAGACTCTTCCTTACTCGTCTTTCCGAAAGTTACAAATGTCGAGCAGGTGACAATGTTCTTCTTGAATGTTACGTTCGTTGTCAGCGTATCAAATCGATCGCTTGGTACGCTAATGGTGAACTGGTCGATGTGCGAGGTGTACGCATTTGGCATCGATATGATCCAGCGACCGGACACTGCATGCTCTGCATCCGTTCAGTACTCGATTGTGATTCTGGGTCATATCATTGTGAAGCGACAAGCCACGACAACGTGGTGGAAACTTTGGAAGTTAAATTAACTACTGACGATCGTTAGTGAAAATCTTCTTGGCTTTTTTTTCTCGAAATTTTCATCTGTGCAATCATTTAGGAGACAAAGTTTGGAAGAAAATTCCCATATTGAATATGGCTGGTCGAGTCATGCCCGGTGGTAAGAAGATTGTATCATTTCGTTTCATTGAAAACAAGTACATTTTTTTCTAGGTGCTAAAAAACTAATGACAAGTTGTCCAACATGAGATTCGTTGGTTTCCTCGGTGAACAACACGATCAACCACAATGCTTTGTTTTTCTATACATCATATCTTATTTTTCTACGAAAATATACATATATATTTTTGTCAATTCACAGATAAACATCTGTCGATGTGTTCCATGTCGTACCCGATGCTCACCGACATTTTTGACATGACTTTTCTCTTCATTCGATTGACTGCTTGTTAAAACAATGAAACGATCATCTGATGTTTTGTTTCTCGTTAGAAAATAACGATCGGTAGACGGATATTTTCTTCTATATCTTATCCCCACAGTTCACATATTATTAGAGCCCAGCAAGAAAGAATAACAATAACAATCAAATGGTCTTCCCTAACGAGAAAAAGCGAGAAGAAGCAAACACAGATTTTTCTTCCAAGCATATTTTATATTTGACAGCTAATTTAGAAATTGACTCGTGAATATCGACATCGAAGTCAAATGTCCATTGAAAAACTTTCTCGTGTAAGAAACATAAGCAAAGTCAACTTGTCACATTCAGGATTGAAAACAAAAATTGTCACCTCTCGTAAGTTGACCTACATTTGATCTCTACTCGATACTGAATCTCAAATTGGAAAAGCAACATGAATTCTATAAAACAGTATTATATAATTCGATGATATGCTATAGAAATCTAATCATATCGATTTGCTATTATTTATTATTTTAATGTTAAGGAGCAATTATCTATGAAAATTCCAGTGTTGATCTGGTCGTTTATTAATCATGTGTATAATTGATTTCGAATGGATCTGTTCGTTCGAGAAATCGAAATTTCTTATCACTAGTCTTCTATCATCAATGTTGACATCGATGTCTATCATCAGTCGAAGACGTTCAGACCATTAATGATGCTTTTTTCTTCTCATCTTTCTCGACATACATATAATGTATCGGTCATTCTTTCCTTCTGATTTTCTATGTTTGGAATAACTCGAAGCGTACTCAAGATGAACAATTATGGGGAAAAAAAGAAGAAAAGTATCTCTTATGTGTTAGTAACCTATCATTCTTGAAGATATTGTTGATATCTCGTTTTGTTTCTCTCCCCCTTCTTTGGATTATATCATCTTATACAGCTGTTGAACAACAATCATCACAACACTTCGTCTTCTTGTTATTCAGAGAATATTATCATCTTTTTTTTTCAGCACAAATAAATATGCATTATTAGTTTTTCGAATTTTGTTAATAATTATGACTATTGACAAGGATTTTCTTTCAAATTTGACTCATACGGATGATCAAGATGAATACAAACGAAATGATACCATTCAAATTGGCTTTGAACAAGAATTAAAGTCATTGACGGTTCTGCATGGTGAATCAGCCAGATTCGAAGCCAAGATACGCTTAATTTCCATCTCAACATGCAAACCAATCGATCTCACATTGTTAAAAGTCGAATGGCGTTTAAATGACATATCAATCGGAATGAAGAACACTTTCAAATATCAATTTGGCTGTTCAATCGAAGATAATCGCTACTGGATGGATATCCAACACTGTCAACGACGGGATGAAAAAGTTTATACGATTTACATCAGCTATGATGACGAAAGATTACATGACGAATCGAGTGCATATCTCTTTGTTGATAGTAAGTTAGATGCCTTGCATTCCACTCGATCGATCAATTCTTATAATTTTTAGATTGTCCTGATGAAAACGAAGAGCTATTAACACCGACAATAGAAACAAGTTTAGTGCCTATTGGTGCATCGTCATCAGCATCAGTTAAGGCTCTTGATCGATTTGTACCACCGACTATAACACGCTTACTTCAACCTTCGTACCAATATCATCCGGGTGAACAATTGCATTTTCTTGTTGAGTATATTTCTCCCACCTCGGAATGTCAATCGACTTGGCAAGTACAACATTCGTATGACCAACAAGCGAAGCCTGTCGAAGACGGATTAATTGTTAATGCTGATTGTTCATCGATATTAATTATCGAATCGATTACTTCGCGATTACAAGGTTTATATACGTTCTTTGTCGAAAATCTGTATGGTCGTGCTATGACCCAAACGATCGTTACTGTTGACTCAGATGAAAGTGATAATCACAATGCACGTAAGGAGAATCTAATAATGTGCGCACGTACTTTCAAACGCCATGTTTTTCATATTGCAGATTACAATGTGATACAAGATGATATGTCAAATAAAAGTAGGGAAATAGCCGTATATCATTCGAATGGAGCATCGAGTAAACATTTGCCTGCTGTACATAATTCATCATCAAGTGAATCATCGGAATATGAAGAATTAAAAATCCATTCTTTCAATGATAAATCGTCATCATCGATGTCAACAGCAACACCGACGGACGAAGATATGATTGTGTCAATAGGAGATGTTCAACCGTCACTGGAACAAAAACTGTACGAATCGTTTGATCTGTCGATTGGCAAAGATTTGTATGGTCAACGGCATATTGCATATTTTGATCCATCGTCGAAATTTGAACATGTAGAACCAATTGAACAATTTGAAAACGACGATTCATTGACACGATTGGCAATGAATGATCAGCGAATGAAAAATGTAAGTTAGAAGAAGCATACAAACTTTGTAATAATCCTTGTTCGTTATCTCTGGTCCTAGGATCATACCAAATCGATTACAAAGAAATTCCGACTTCCACCTCCACCTCCGATCGAGCACAATTCAGAAGAACATATTTATGAGGACATTCCACAGATTCTTCCAATTCCAGAAATGTCTGCCAGCACTTCCGTCCAGCAGCAGCAGCAGTCGATTGAAATTTCAGATCACAATGGAA